AAAGAGTGGCAAAACCTTATGAAGCTGGAGGCTTGGGATTTAAAGGTCTACATCATATGCAACAAATCAACATGTGCAAACTCTCGATCAGATTTAGAAAAAATGAAAGCCTGTTGTCTAACTACATGATGGCAAAATACTGTAAAAATGATCATCCTGAAGATGTTACAAAGAAGGTAGGAGACTCCAAGATTTGGACCCAAATGCTTAAGGGAAGGGAGGAGATTGACAAACATCTTATTTGGGAGCTGGGAGATCAACTTCTTGAAGGATAACTGGTGCCTTGTTGATCAATTAGAGCCACTACAGAATGAAAAGGAAGAGGATTTATTGGTTAAAGATTGTTGGAATGGTAATGAGTGGTCTGAGGATGCCTTGAACAAAATCATGAAAGATTCAGCTACTAGAAGTATCTCTAAAATCTAGTTTGATAGAAATAAAAAAGACCAGATTCATCTCATTAAAAGGATCAGATCCAGCATTTCAAAGGACATCCAAAATAGGTTGTTTAGATGGGAAGATTGCAAGTGGAATATTAGCATTTGCCAAAATTCCTAACTCCTTCTATGGTGTTCTTTTCTTGGAGAGTCCTAATTGACTTAATTCCAACAGATGACATTTTGAAGCTGAAAGGATTGAAAGGCCCCTCAAGATGCCACCTATGCAATAATAATCAAGAATCCAATGTCCATCTCTTTTTCATATGCAATTTTGCTAGGGAGGTTTAGAATAAGCTGAACTCTAACATTAACTTGAACCTGCTGAATGTGGGCTAGGGTAATTTAAAAGATAGTTTGAGAAATTGGCAGGCAATTAATCTGATGTCTCTTCCCTTCATTGTTGCATGTTTTCTTTGGAATGCTAGGAACAAGGTGAAGCATGAAGACATTGTCTCTTCTTCTGATTCTGTGGTAGCTAACTGCCAGGCCTATTTACATAAGCTGATTAATTTAAAGAATTTCCCTAATTTATTGAAGGATATGTCTAATATTGATCTCAAACACCCTATGGTTATTAAGGTTAAATGGGAGAAGCCTCCTCATAATTTCATTAAAATAAACATTGATGGGAGCTTCACTAACAAGAAAGCTGGTTTTGGAGGTTTTTCCAGAGATCACACAGGCAAAGTTTTGCTTTATTTCAGGGCCCCCTACATTGCTGAAGATGTATTGGAAACAGAAGCTGCTGCTCTTTACTGGGCCCTTAAATTTGCTAAGGAAGTCAAGTGGAATTGTATTATTGCTGAAGTGGACTCTTCACATCTGGTGGAGCTAGTCACTGCCACCTCTTCCCCCCTTGGCACATAAATTAGTGGATTTACAAAATAAGGAAGCTTATCACTGAGATCAAGTTTCAAATCAATTTTAACTACAGGGAAGCCAACAGGCCTACCAACTTCTTGGCTTTGGAGGGCTCAAACTTGAGCCATGCAGTGGTCTCCACTACCCTTCCTCTCCCACTACAACTGTTAACACAAGGGGATAAACTTCAAATTCCTTATCTTAGAATTCAGAACTGAAATCTTGGTCTCTTCTTTTTGAGTTTCAGCTCCCTTCATATCGGCTGTCATCCATCTTCTTTTCTTGTCAGGCTGTTTGGGTTTTAGATTGATTGTTAAGTACATATATATATAT